CATATTGCAGCCAAATTTCAGTCACTGTAGCTGCATTCCCCAAAACCAGGCTCTTTCTGCACTTTCAAGTAGATTCTCTTTCATTACAAGTTCCATCTTGTCCCTACGCGTTATTGTACACTGTTTATCTGATGCCATTTCTCACCATTTATATTACTGTATCTTCATAGTAGGTGACAAACCGAGAGGGAATAAGTCTGTAAAGTACCTTAGAGTTATTTAGTATCATCTGTTTTGAATAAACATGAAATACAGTTAGCATGTTATTTGTTCTTACCTGCATCGATGGCACATGGGTAATGGTATCGGAAGGAGCAGCCTTTGTTGTAGCAGCCTAAGGTGGCTCCCGGTTCCTGGCAATGGGAACATTTCTGAAAGGCAAACCAAGAAACAGCACTGAAGACTTAAATCACCTTTCCAAATACCTGTATTTTCCTGGGAGTTTTATCCACCACATTCCTGCACAAATTTCTCAGGTATCACAATGTTAGACTGTATCTTTCCACACCACACAAAGAAAGGCTTTTTGACTAGGCAACAACATAAGCTCTTTCAAATAACCAACTTTTCAGCTGTGCTAACCAGGCAAGTGATACCAAATGTTCAAACCAACCATTCAGAAAGAACTTGAAACACTTCTCCCATCTGTTGCACTGGCCTATGTTTCAGTACGTGACAATGACATCAGTGTTAAAATTGGAGGGACAGAGCTTTTTTGAATCTACATCAGCTTTAAAATGAGAATTGGCATGACAAAGAATGATTTAGAAGATACCATTAGCATAAAAGTAATTTGGTTACATCATTTTCATTATCACTAGCAGTCCAAGAGATCAAGCCAAGTTGAACATTTTTTTCACAGGTGATCAAGAAAGGCTTACTGGGAGCAGGAGAAGATGCCATCCAGGGATCGTACCTCACCGTCACAGAAATGGTGTATCTCCGAAAGAAATGCCTGCAGCACTAGAAAGATGCTCATACATTTATTTTCAAAGTAGTAAGATTCATCTGATGACCACATTCAATTTCCAGTTTTTAAATCCTATTATCTTGACTGGTCAATGATGTATTTAACCATATTATCAGACAGATGTGAATGCAGCAGAATGAAAGCCACTCATCCATTTACTTCATCCTGAATGACTTAAGGAACGACCTCAGAAAGGAGGCCTATCGTGCATCTCATTCAGACAGCAACTTTATTTCTTGAATGTACACAGTAAGTGATTTTCATTAACTAATCTAACATTCTGATGAAAGCCAGTTTCTGACAGGTTGACATTTTTCCCTTCTAAAGAGAAAACAAGGCACATATGGCAGAAACCAAAGGCTAAGAGACCACTACTATTTAAAAATTAAATCACAAATAGACTTTAACAGAAGAAGAAAAGATGGCCTACAATAAGTAGGTCAACTACAGGGAGTCCTACTTAAGGAAACACCAGAATTTTGGTTTTGCTGATAAACACAACCAATAAGGCCTTGTATAACTGGTACAATTCACCTTGAGTTTAGGCTATAAGCTGCCTCCTTTGGTCACTGACTGCACACAGAGAGATGATGACAATGATCTAAACCCTCTTCTTCTATTGGAAAAGTTGGTGTCAAACTACACGTGCTCTATTAACACTGTCAGCAAGCTACACCTGTACAGCACACAGAACAGATGTGCTCAGACCAGCAGTGCACTTGGCACTGGACAAAAGCATGTGTTTTTTTTAACTGTATGGGGAGGTTCATATGCCAAGATGGCCATATCAGCTAGACCACACTTCTTCACATCCCTGAAAACCATATATGTGGCAGCGGAGGTCTGCAGAATAGATGTGGCCAAAGATAACAGCCACAGTGAAGTTCCTTGCTCTGCACAATAAACACGGTTTTGGCTACAATATTTCAAAAACCACTAAGAATATGTGACAGTCATTGCTCTTCCTACTATTCTAGGCTATGCAGAGATGACTATAGTTTGTATTTAAATGATTGAATGAGGATGAAAGTAAAACTAGCTCCAGCCATAAACCAGGTGGCCCTCTCCAAATCAAAGCAGATGTAACTAACAGAAGAGCTTGTGAGATGTCAGTTCTCATGACATCTACAACTGCAGTCTTGAATACTGCCTTCTATTTTCAGTTATGCAAAAGCACCCTGAGACTCATCTACAGTGTTCCCTATTAAATTGTATCTAAGCAGTGAATGTGTATCATGACAAAGTATTGTAGCATTTATGATGTAAGGAAAGCATCCCTGAGGCCCAGAGACACCCAAGCAGCTTATTTTTGCCTGTCAGAACACAAATCCTAGGTAAAAAAGGTTAAAAATGAAAAAAAAAAAAGGTAAATCTAAACTGATATTTGAACGAACACCAAAATGTATGGACCTCTAGCCAAACTGCAATGTAATTCACTCTCTCATGGGAGTAAAACCAAGTTTCATGTATAGAAAATGTCTTTTCCTGGCTATGAAGTCAAGCCTAGAAGAATATTATGTACTGGCAATAGTCCCAGATTCACCTATGCCAAGTATTCACAAAGCGCAGCTCGAGGAGTTCTGAACCACAGCTCTTTACCTGTATGCTTTATTCTTGCTTTTAGATGTGGCTGACTGAGATTAATTATTCTAACAGGACAGAACCCAAATTGACTATTCTTTTTGAACACAGAAATTAATCTCTAGTTTTGTTCCTCAGAGGCATTCTGTCCTCCCCGCTTTATCTCGTCTTTGAAGTACCATCACACTGTTGCAACAGAAGAGGTCATTCTTCCCTGGAACACTGTGTCCTGTACAGAGCAGTCAATAAGAGCATAAGAACTACAGCAGTAGAGATTAAACTGCAGCTGTGTAAAATATTTCTTAACACTAAAAAGGCATGTCTTAGAAGAGTGTACTGTGCGATACAACTGAAAACAAGACGACCCCTAGAAAAATTTTTGATACTTTTCCAAATGTTAATTTAGTCTTTGAACTTACTCTTTGTTGCATCTAGCATGGTTCATCTTGCTATTCTGAAACTTGCAGCAGAAACACGACAGGCATTTTGACGAATTTTAAGCGTGCCTGTAGCACTCAGCTGAGAATGGGTAAGGAATACTTTCAAATCGGTTGTAGTTAGGACTGATTAGACAAGAAAAGTGGGTAGTTAAGATGCCAGAGCATGAGCATCAAGCCTTTCATTTCCCTTTTTTTTTTTTTTTTTTTTTTATAGTCTGCCAGACCAACTAGATTATTACCAAGGTTACCTGCAGCTACGCCCACAACAGCAATTCCCCAGTGGACTACAATACCATTGACTGCTCAAGGCAGAGATCATCTGCTGCTGCTGGCTCCCCTGCTGCTGAACAAGTCTCCATTCTGGCAGATGCTTCTGCTTTTCACAAGCCACTGACAGTCTAATGGCCCCATTTCTTCTACCTCCTGGGACCCCCGACCATCTGCTTCTTTCAGGGGAAGCTGGGGGAACCACATACACAATAACTACTCTTTTCTTTCGAGTTCTTCCTTCTTGACACACCACAGAGTGACTGAACAAAGCAGACACCCTACAAAGCTGTATGGTTCTAAAACAACTTACTAGTCTATCGCTTAATCTTTGAAAGAGACTATCATCATGTACTGCCACGTGGTTTCCAAATATATCCAGGTGTTTCTAGAAAGACAGAACAAAGTGATTAAAAAAATTCTGGACGGTCTCAGTCTTCTTTTGCAAGACATCACTGCTGTGCCTTAAAAGATAAAGAGATGCATAGTTCCTGCCAGAACTTTCTGTGGCTTTGGTCAGAACCCTTATCCTTACATATTTATGTTTCAAAACAAAAAGAAAATAAAAGATGTACACTACAACTAGAAAACATTCTAAAACCAAAATAAAATCACAGAACTTCATACAGAAAATGTGTGAATTAGGCTTAATGACCACTAATGATTCTCTTTGGTCCACAAGCAAATTTTCACCCAAACCCCACCATCCTGCAGCCATTCACCAGCAGATGGTAGCAGCCTGCTTGTCACTTGTAAAGGAATTATAGCATTCTTAGCCAGGGAAACAGCACTTAAGCTCTCATGGGAAGAGAAATTCCTTTTGCTCAGTAAGCAGCCTGCTTAACCTCCCCTGCTTGAAAGAGCTGAAGGCTGGTACTTGGAGTGTGCTCCCAATGGGAGGTGCCAATGGATAGTAATCATTGCCAGGCATCTAATCAACTCCTGGCTCACTTTAAAAACAAAAACAAAAAAAAAAAAAAGAAGAAAAAAAAAAAGAAGAAGAAGCAGCTAAAAAAAAGACCACACAGCAAAGATTGATTCAGAGGTCCTATCTCCACAATTCATCCCTGGCCACAAGGCACATATATCTCACTTAGAATAGACTGGAGAGACTGAAAAGTGCCATTTAGAAGAGACACTCCATCCCTTGAACTAAATTATCAATAGTATTAAAGCCAGATACATTGTCTCCACCTCTCCACGCTATTAGCGGCCCATCTCTTCCTGGCTACAGCCCATCATTCTCTGTCTACCAAAATGAAGTAACACACAACCTGAAAGCATGAACAGTTAGGGGACAGCTACCACAGAGCGGTAGCAGAGCTGCTCTGATTCATTCAAAATACTAAAACATGCACTAGTTATATTTCTTCTGCTTTAAGTGTTGCATTTTTTTTTCCACTAGCTATATTTCTTCTGCTTTAAGTGTTGCATTTTTTTTTTTCTGCAATTTGTATTCATTCATTACTACAACAGTAAACTCTTCTGAGAGCACACTGCTCTAAATGCAATAAATAGGGGTGTGGTCTTTGGGTACCTTTTTTTGCCTCACTCAGATTTGTACCCAACTCCACATAGGTGTTAGAATATGAACGTGTCCCGAGTTTCGTACCTTCCTCCTCCTGACCAAACACAAGCTTGTAGGCTTGTGAAAAGAAGTGCCCCAAGCTGCTCAAGTAAAACACACACGTTAACTTTTCTCTTTGGCTATGCACTGACAGAGATAACATCTTTGTCTAGGAGTACTGGAATCCCGCAGGGGGACAGGGTTTTGCTGGTGGGAGGATGGGAGCTCAGGACTAGCCCTTCGAACATATTCTGAGTAGTAGCAGGTAGAAGCAAAAATTAATTGCTTCTGCCTGACAGTAATGTAAGATGTTTTCAGATGATTCCTCCACTATCTTTCTTGTGGAACAATTACCAAAGAAGTTTAAGCAAGGACATTTGCAACAGAGGCAACTGTATCTTATTTTCTACTGTCTATAATCCAAAGAGCCTTTTCTCGCTGATCAGTTGCTTCTTTCAGTTTGCTCACCTGCGCCCCACACTCAGGCCTCATTCTACCTTCCTCTCTTCCAAGCACCAGTTTTTCCTTTGCTCTGTTTTGTTCCCT